GGCTGGGCGCATCGTTAATGTTCACCTTCCCAAAGATCGAGTGACGCAGTCACACCAGGGTTACGGCTTTGTGGAATTCATAAGCGAGGAGGATGCTGAATATGCTTCGCGCATAATGAACGGGATTCGCCTCTATGGAAAACCGATACGAGTCAACAAGGCATCTGCCGATAAACAAAAATCCGTGGAAATCGGAGCGGAGCTCTTCGTCGGAAACCTTGATCCTTTGGTCACGGAGCAGGTCCTCTATGACACGTTCAGTCGCTTCGGAACTCTCGTCAATATTCCAAAGGTAAGGCTTCAATAAGTTCCTACCTGATAGAGGAATTTTCCTTCCCTGCAGCAAGCTAACAAACTGTAGGTTGCACGCGATGATAACAACCTTTCCAAGGGTTATGGATTCGTATCATTTGCCGACTTCGAGTCTTCTGATACTGCTATTGCCAACATGAATGGGCAATATCTAATGAACAAACAAGTTTCCGTACAATACGCCTATAAGAAAGACGGCAAAGGCGAACGGCACGGTGATCAGGCAGAACGAATGCTGGCTGCGCAGGCTCGCAAGCATAATGTTCGTCCGCCAACCCAGCCACTTCCACCACAATTCACCAACCCAGGAACTCCAATGGCGGCCGCTGGGATGGCTAATGGAGACGGCACACAACCGTTAAGCGCTGGTCCACCAGAATTAGCGACGGGAAGAGGCGTACCGCCGCCTAACTTGGGCTTCCAGAACGTACCTCCGCCGCAACCTAATCGACAACTCCCTCCTACCACTCCCTTGGCGAATCCGCCCCCCGGTTTGCCGGCAAGACCTCCGCCCTCGCAAGCTGGTTACGGTGGCCCTCAGACTTTTCTCCCCCCTGGTTTCAATAATGCCGGCCAACAGCCACCATTCCCACCGCAAGCAGCACCGCCGCCGGGGTTCGTGCCACCAGGTTTCGGTCCTCCATCGGGAACCCCTAACCCTCCACCTCCATTACCACCGGGCTTCCAGCAACCTGGTTATGGTGGGGGCCGCTGAGCTTTAAGTCACTCGTCTTCCCTTTTCAAGTGCATTGATGCGGAAATATATCTCTCATGCATTACTTTTGACGAAAAAGGCCTTTCCCCACAGTTTTGCCTCGTTACCATCCGACGAGAACATGTAGTCTAGGTGATTCCCAAACTTGTGTATTAAAGCACGCCACTACATGGCGGATCAGCTTGCTCCACAGAACACTATTGAGCTAACTAATCCATTAATAATGATGTGAAAGGGTTGGGTGGAAATTGGACTGGAAAGGAAACTACATGGTTGATCAGGATTATACATTCCTTCCATTAGTCTCGCGGTGAGGCAGCATATTATTATCCAAACTGGCAGCATTCACCGGCGGGTATATATTGCAATTGTGCTCGATTCAGATGAGACCTGCGAAGTGAACTGCTCATATTCCGATGCATCTAGCGATACAGGCCAAACTACGAAGATAGCCATCATGTTCTGATTGCGATAGCAAATATTGTCATTCGATTGCATCAAGTAATTTATTTCAGAAGTGGTTCCTTCTGCGTGTTCCCAAGAATGGAAGCACTTGAGAACAAGGACACGCATGATAAACGTAAAGAAATGAGAGGAAGGGCAAAAGAAGGTTGGGTCAGCAGAGAATGAGCCACTGGTGCTTCGGAAGGTAGGCAGATTTCCCAATGAAAGTGCAAACGATAGGCAACACGAAGAGCGATAGAGAATTGGAAGAATGGAGTAGGAGTGGTGGTTAAGAGAATGACACGAACTTCGGGTCCCTGGGCCGGCCGTCGGGACCGATGTTGTGGGTAGCAAATCGTCGTTCTGTGTAGATACGACGAGCTTCATCGAAGTTAACATTCTGCGTCTTCATGATCTTCTGCACCTCGCGTTTCGCTTTGTCATCCAAGCCGGCTCTTGTGTCGCCATCTGCGATGTTGGACGCTATATCGAACTGCGATGAGGAAAGGCCCGCCTCCAGATCCCCCGCAAAGCTAGAGGGAAGGTGATGATAAAGGTGACCTGGGACTGGGATTAAGGGCAACCACCGTGACCGGGTGAGATAAAGGGCTGCCAACGGGCGTCAGATGGGTTACAACCAAGATATACAGCTTGTGCATCAAACATACCAGTCCCGCAAATCACGACAGCAAAGGTGAGGAAATAAAGGGTATAGTACGCCATAGTGATCGTGTATATGCGATTATGCGCACTTCAGCGAGGAAAGATTGATGTTGCTATGTCAGTTATTATGACTTCCTACAGCGGATGTACCGGATACTGGCGGCAAGGCAGATGAGATTCGTGATGTGAGGCAAGTCCTCATGGATTCATTCAGGTAGAAGCCAGTAATGTATGATGCTGGCTGGGCAGGATACTGCCACAACCAGCTACAGAGTAAGCATCTGAACAGGAAGACGGTGAAAGGTAGTTGGCACTCAAAAGATTATGTTTGACGGCGTTGAAGCCGGATCAATATCAAGCTGAGAAAGGCAGAGAAAGTACCTTAGTACGTAAGGTACGGATAGCTCACCGGCACCAAGATATGATTGGAAACAGCCTGGCATGTGTGGGGAGGTCCTTGGGGCTCTTCCCTTAACGTCCCACATTCAAGCAGCAGAACCTTGAAGGTCAGACTATGCCGAAAACGGTCTCCTTAGCGAGGTTGTTGGCTGCTGTTCTTGGCACGGCCGCACACAATAACGATCCCAGGCAATTAAGTATATCAGCCTCGCGTCGAGTTCGATCCGTTCCCATTCAATCAGCTTTCAAGAGACATTTCACAATGGCCGCCGAAAGAACGAACGTTTCCAGCGACCTTGTCTGGCAGATCACTCGTACGTTTACCTCTTGTTGCCGTTTCCTATCTTTTCTACTCTAGAGTAACCGACTTTCTGAGTCTTTTGCTCTGCCCATATTGTCCATTCATGTCCTTAATTTCCGCTGATCCATATGCTCTGAACAGGCAGCCAGAATGCTTTTCTGGTCAAGCGGAGGACCGGTGGTGGCTCCCAGTTCTCCCGCGATCCCCTGAACCTGCAGAACAAGCAGTCTTTCAAGGTACGATTTTGAAGATTCATTATGATTTCAATGGCACTAGAAACGCTGACTTCAATACTGCGTATAGTATGCTGGCTATGCCAACACCAAGGTACTTCACACATCATCAACTCGCAGTCCTTCAATAATAGAGAGGAATTGTGTCTGAACTCTTATAAACAGGCCGTCGGTGTGCAGGCCACTGAAAACGGTGGTGTTGTTGTCATCACCAAGAAGCCTGGCAACCCTCAGCAGCCCGCAAAGAACGTGGTCAGCGTCAGCTGGGGTCCTAACGCTTCCACCCGCAAGTAAGCAGAACAGCTATTTTCTCACCGCTTTGCCGGACAGCATTGTATCAAGCCGGTTTTGCTAATCAGAAATATTCTTCTATGGTACAGGATCTACAAGGCTGTAGCAAGCAAGACCGCCAAGAACGGCTACCGCGCCGACCTCCGTGAAGACGCCGTTGCTCGTGTGAGCGCCATCCGTCGCTCCCAGAAGCCCAAGAAGGACACTCCCCCCAAGAAGCTCAGAGGCGCTCAGGCCAGAAAGGCCGCGGAGCAGAAGTCGGAGTAAATACAAGTCTCAGAGCAAGGAAAACACCGAAGACAAGAGGTCAAGGAACGGCGCGTCGACTGAAATAGAGCCGTGCTGGTCAAGGGCGAAAGCGTCCATGTAATTTAGCAATATCGTTATCGGGTATTGTCCTTCCGAGGCCATCAGCAATCTCAGCACTATGAAAAAGAAAGCGAGAATCAAATGCCGTGCAGAAATGGTTGAGTCCAGATTAGGTTTGCCGGGATATAGGCCAAAAGTTTCGTAATTTAGCTCGCCTTGTTTGCTGCTTTTCGACTTCCTACATTCATGATCATTACTAGCAGTTGGCACATGTTCCGGATTTTGAACGACTGCAGCCGCTTGTCGGGCCGAAACGTATTCTAGAACCTGTTGGGACAAGCTTGGAGCTTTCACCTTTTGCCGCATGTAACACTCATCACCCGCCTTTTCCCGAGTTCATGATGGATCAATGGGATCAGTTGACAAATTCGGTAGGTTCCTCGGTGATGCGTATCGTGAGACAGACGAAATTTCCCGGAATCTGGGGCGTTAGGAGGGGATCAAGTCGACTCTGACGTATGGACCAAGAGGCATGGGAAAGTTTCCTGTCCTGTACCATGACAATACGGGACATGGATACCTAGGATTCTAGGAAGCTGTAAGATCAATGATTACTCTGTAGATACCTAACATCGGAGTAGGTAGAACTCTGGGAGCTCTCTCTAAATACTCTCCCCACATGTGATCTGCCGTTGTCTGTCTTCCCCACCTCAACACAAGTCGGTATGAGAGCAACAAAGCAATAATCATAATAATATGGACCGGATAATAGGTGGACACACATAATTATTTCCTTACCTACCCGAGACAGTAGTGATGGGTATCATACTGGCTTACGTACCTGGTCGTTGCTGTACGTGCTCCTGTATCTATAAGAACTAGTCGAATGCCATTATTATTGTACGGAGAAGTTGTCTCACATTCTAGATCTCAATTTCTATAGCCAGATTGCCAGGTCATCGTCAATTCCTCAAGAGATGTATGTCCAGTGCCGTCTATCAGCTTATACCCCTTGTTTCTACTATACTCTCACTGTTTGTTTGTGCCTTCCCCGTTCATCTCCTTCCCCAACCCCGAATATGGCGCGTTGTTTGTTCCCGTTTGGTTTACCGTTACCCCTCCCTAGTCCCCCTCCTACGCTCCTGCCCCTCGGTAGCTCCCTTCATCCCTCCTGCTCCACCCCCACTCTTTCTTTCGTACTCAAGCGGTTGTTGTTCTTCCATCACCATCATTGCCCCAGTCTTGCGTTGGTCCGATTCTGTCAGTCCGTCTTACTCACACGCAATACAGATACTCCTCTTAATCAACAAGCATAAAACTCTAATTTATCACCATGGTCAAGGCAGGTAAGCATCTGATCGGCTTCTTGAAGAGACTCCCGAAAGAGTTATCCTACTGATTCATCCCAATAGCTGTTCTCGGAGCCTCTGGTGGCATTGGCCAGGTTTGTACCCTCTGATTTTCTGTCACTTCACCCGTTACCTAGTCACGTACTGATATTTGTTCTTGTCGCATCTTTAGCCTCTATCTCTTCTGTTGAAGGCATGCCCTTTGGTTGATGAGCTTGCTCTCTACGACGTCGTCAACACTCCCGGTGTCGCTGCGGATCTGTCTCACATCTCTTCCATTGCTGTATGTGACAACTTCCTAGACTCATCAACTCAAGTGACTCAACCCTCGTTCCTGACTCGCGCATGCAGAAAATCTCCGGCTACCTTCCCAAAGATGATGGCCTGAAGAATGCATTGACTGGTACTGATATCGTCGTCATTCCTGCTGGAATCCCTCGTTAGTACTCCTACTCGCTAGAAACAAAAATAACTGCTGCTCTTTGTCTGACTCAAATTCTTCCCAACAGGCAAGCCTGGAATGAGTCGTGATGATCTTTTCAAGGTGAATGCCGGCATTGTCCGCGACTTGGTGACGGGAATCGCACAGTACTGCCCTAAGGCTTTTGTACTCATCATCTCGAATCCTGTAAACTCCACCGTCCCAATCGCCGCTGAGGTGCTCAAGAAACAGGGTGTCTTCGACCCCAAACGCCTCTTTGGTGTCACCACTCTGGATGTTGTCCGTGCCGAGACCTTCACTCAAGAATATTCCGGCCAGAAGGACCCAGCCAAGGTCCAAATCCCGGTTGTTGGCGGGCACTCTGGCGAGACAATCGTCCCCCTCTTTAGCAAGGCTTCCCCAGCCTTGAATATTCCTGCAGACAAGTATGACGCTCTTGTGAACCGTGAGTGTCTGCACTATATCTACAGGTGTTTGCGACTTGTGACTGACTCATCTGTAGGGGTCCAGTTTGGCGGAGATGAGGTAGTCAAGGCTAAAGATGGCGCCGGCTCCGCCACCTTGTCCATGGCTTATGCTGGATTCAGGTCTGCCTTTTCTTTCTCGAGAGCTGTGTTTGTATCTCTGCTAATCCGAAGTAGATTCGCCGAAAGTGTTATTAAGGCTTTGCAGGGCCAGTCAGGCATTGTCGAACCCACTTTCATTTACTTGCCAGGCGTCACTGGTGGTGAGGAAATCGCTAAGGAGACCGGTGTTGAGTTCTTCTCGACCCTTGTCGAACTCGGAGTAAGTCTTTCCGTCTTCAGCACAAACCGTTTCTCCTAGTATATGCTAAATGCAAAAAAGCCTAATGGCGCGGAGAAAGCCATCAACGTTCTCCAGGGCGTTACCGAGCAGGAAAAGAAGCTCCTTGAGGCTTGCACCAAGGGCCTTAAGGGCAACATCGAAAAGGGCATCGAATTCGTCAAGAATACCCCACCAAAGTAAACGCGCCTATCCCCGTCAAACAACCTCAACCCCCATTGGCCAGCCGCATCGTTGTCTTCCCTGAAGTGCACTTGTCGGTGGCCTTTTCCCCTCCCCCAAGAGCTCACGAGAATTGAAAATGACCTCGCTAATCAAAGCTATCCCGGAAAGATAGGCTTTAAAGCATAAGATTCATGAGGACGAATGATGGAGGTCGCCGTGGGGTTGATTATTAGGTTCGCGAATGCAGGCCCCTAGAGACATGCATGCAGAAATGAATAAATCTTTTATTTTTTAGCTTGGAATTGTGAGCCCCTGTTGCTGTGTAAAAGTGATAATTGAGCCTGCCATCGGGACAGAGACAAGAGGGGTCTTTGTTGCTCTTTCGTACTGGCGCCTTCTAGGCAAAATATCGGTCCCAAGCGTTCAGGGCCTGGGCTGAACTGTTTTGATTTGGAACGTTGCCCCGGGAAGCTCGGACGTTTCAGCTTGTACAGTGGTGGCAATGCCCATGTTCGATAGAGCACCACGAATGACGCCGCATGGAAACCAGAGAAACTGGGTTCATGTTAAAATGTTAGGATCGCGATGGATGTAGGAATATGGGGTCTTGCCCACCGCTTGCGCCATAGCAGTCGCCTCGCTTCGAGAAGCCGTGCTCATTCTTGCAAATGGCCGAAACGAGTTATCTGTGAGGACATAGACACCCTGAAAGATAAAATATATCACTATCAGCCTCCATCCGTGAGGACTCAAGCGCACAAGTTTGATCTGAAGTCGCTGACGTGTACCAACCCGATGATTCGTTTTCAAATTATCCACTTGTTTCCTGAAAAGAATCGTCCACAGATCCTTGCACAAAAATTTGATAACGTCGAGATTGTCTGTGAAACGAGGGCGATCGCGAGAAAATCTACCCGGTAAGAAGATGCGAGAGGTATATGTCAGCTGCATTTGCGTTCAGTCAAGCCCCATTTAGAGAGATCCTCTCAGTCTTTATGTTCATCCAAACACATATTCCATCCCTCAAGTACTAGACAGAATGTGTCGCTGACTTACCGTTCTGCAAGTCCTTGACCAACTCGGTAGCCTATAGACTCGAGTCGAAAGAAAGTCGACTCCCTGATTTCGTCATCATCCGAAGCTTTGTCATTGAGTGCCAATTCCCTCGCTAAGCGTTCGGCCATAGGAACGAGCTCTATCAGAAGAAAGTCTAGGCATGAAGTACTCAGGAAGCGAGCATGAGGATCGGAGCTATTGATAGGTGAGACAGACGCATCAAACGACATCACGATGAGTCAGTATGGAAATTGTCTGCGAGATTTTCAACGCGTATTATCAATCTGAAAAGGGTAGGATAACGCTAAACCTCAGCTCAGATAAATTTCGTTTTGCATATCCGTCATGGGTATTTGCGGAGGTGGACTTCAGAACTCCGCAACGTGGTTTGGAATGCTTGGACTTGGGACACTCCTTGACGTACACTTCTCCCTAACTTCTGCCACCCGCCCCCAGGACTTGAGTACTTCTGTGATTACAACAATGCTCAAATAACTCAAGGACTTCAAATACATTGTACTGCACTGACAAATTAACATTACTATAAAATTAACGGTGAGATTTACATATAGATTGGATCATCCGTGGCACCTGCATTCGCATGGACATTTTCAGAGCCATGGGAGCGTGAATGAACGTGGGAGATGAGTCAAATTCAATAGTAGTGAGCTATTATTTACCTCACCAACTAACATGGCTCACTTGACCAGTCTAATGTTGCTCCTTCCTCATCGGAACTCACCCAACGAGCCTATGCCCAGCAATAACGCCTGAACCCAATTGCGCCATGGCCCCATGCAAATATGCCTCGCTAGATGTCATCATGCATCATAACCACCAGTATGTCTAGGTGATTTCGGATTAGTCTGGTTTGTAAAGGAGAGATTTCCTCCGTTTACAAGCCCACTGCTAAACGAGTTACGAAATTCTGGTCGAGAATAAGCCCGGTGGTGAGCATTTGATGCCAGACGCTTAGCTGGTCTGACTGGGGAAAGCTCGCCGTCATCGTCACTACCAGTCAGATCGATCACTTGGGCTGCTGAGCGTTTGTTAGTGGACAGACGCGCTGCAGATGATGTTGCTGACGGCTCCCGTGATTGAGCCGGTGTCCGCTCTAGGGAGAGGCCTGATGCTGAGAGTGACTCCTGCTTCACATGCACAATTCCAGGTTCTTTGATCTCGACCAGCTCGTCCTCGTCGTCTGTCGCCGGAGTGACGCCACCAGCACCTTTGAACTCGTCCCCCTTTGGACTCGACCACTTCCCATCCGGTTCAATAATGACCTGTTCCACATCCGGTGACGTGGAATGAAGTATATCATCAACATATCTTCACAGTTAGTTTAATTTATGTGGCAGATGAAAGTTCGCGCGGCTTACTGATCAACTTGCAATGATTCGTAGCTCGTGGCCTTGGAACAAACCGGACATGACCATGTCGGCGCTTGTTCCTGCAACTGTAAGAACGATGATGCATCAAAACACTGGTTATGGGTGCAGATGACAGTACGACAAGGAACCTCGATCCGCAGCGTGGAAAGAGGACATTTTAAGGACATGACAGTGGAGGTAGCAACAATGTCGGAATCATCCGCTCTATTCTTCACTACAAACCATTAGAGGATTCGATGCATGAGAAGGATAAAAGGGTACATACTTTCTCGTAATACTTGCTCTTTTGTGATCGTTTTCCTCGTCTTCAATTCCAAGACAAGGTCCTCAATGGGGTGGCGCTGGACTAGATTCACAAGAACAAAAAATCTCTACAACATAGTCAGAAAGAATACATAATGGGCATTGACATGATGAAATGGAAAGAGGATGTGTGGGGACTGAAAGGGTGGGCTTGCAGTGCTTGCCTTTTGCGTAAGCGCATAAGTCATAACAATATGATTGGGATACCCAGGTTTTTTGCGAATGTAATTCGTCACATCGGCGGGCCTCGTTGTACCAGGCTTATTCTTGAGGCCTTTCAGATTAGCCTTGACCTCGTCCAAATTCGCTTTGAGCTCAACTTGGTGAGGGAAAGCAATATCAGACTTGGTGTATTGATTGAGGCCACTGTCCGCTGCGCAATAAACCATTACCCGAAGATTGGGATCAGCTTGCAACCTTGAAGCTACAGTTGGGGAGAGGACGACTTTAAGCTCGACATTGTCCCTCGTTTGCTCGCGTACTTAAGAAGTCAGTCTTGAATGAATGGTGTGTGACTTCAGCTGGTAGATTCAATGCTCACTTTTGCATTCTACAGTAGGAGTGAGCTGCTCCAAGATTGTGTAGAACGGGCTGTCTTTGAAAGTAATGCGGCCTGCAAACACATGAGCAACGATCATAGATAGTGAAATGAAGCGTGCACAGATTACCGGGCGTGAATCCGTGCGATGACATCGGTATAGTCAAAGGTGTTGGCCTATGCTGTGTTTGTATTGACTGGGAAATAGGTGATGCGTGATATGGTTGACTTGGAAGAGGCTGTTGTGTCGTTGATGGCGCAGGCATCGAGCGATGTGCTGTAGCATAAATGAATCTCCTTAAATGATCATAACGTTCAGTATGTCCTCCTTGGTTGAGTCTTTCAATATCTAGATAATAGAGTCAGCCATTGCTCTAGCCAGTCCCAGTGTTCTTGAGAACCAATTGAAATGAAAGGAAGATAGCAAATATAGGGAGGACGAACAGTCTATTATCCGGAGTTGTAGCGAAGCTTTAACACCAGAAACAGCGAGCCCCTCACTCCTCAAGATATCTTTGAGCTGTGCATTTGTAAGTGTCTTTACCAAAGCAACAACGCTCTGGAGCTCAGATGAGTGACCGGCAGAGGCCATGATTCCGAGCTGATATGGTGAGTGCGAATGGTAGAGCGCGGAGGATATAAATTGACTCAAGAAGTGTGGTTAGAGGCAAGTGCACTTAGGTCGTCAGCTCTATTGAAAGACATTTCAATTCTTGTCTTATTCACAATTTCGATTCTTAGCAGTAAAATCAGATAAGTAAAGGAAAAAAGAAATAAAAAATAAAAATAAAAAAAAAGGAAGCTGTATACATCTGTGACCGAGACTCCCTCCTGTTGCACCTCAGATGCGACAGAGCAAAGACCCAGTAAGGTTTCCGATGTGATGACATAAGATGGCCCAGAACGAGACTAGAGTGAAGTCGGGAAAAAATATCTTGTATCTACTCCGTACATCGCGATTCCAACTTTCCCTCCCATTAATTACCACCTTTCTGACCCCCATCTTTTCCCATCTTTTCCCATCTTTTCCCGTCTTTTCCTCACAACTGCTAAGGTTCTAAGTTTTCCTCGGAACAAATAATATGGCAAAGAGTGTTCGAGCCAGCGTTTCCAAGCGCAACAGGGCGAAACTCCGGGCCACAGTCTTTGGCCCTGCTGTTGATGCGCGGACAGAGAGACTGTCCGCAAAATTGAAAGAGCTGGCTTCTCAGCCGATAATTAGAGAACACAAAACGTCAAGTATGGACTTGGATACTACAGGAACTGGTATGTTGCTCTCACCATCAGTTCTCAATATAGTTCAACCGCATATTCGTTCTTCGATCAACAGTCTCATTCCTACTGCATACAGGTAGCCAAGTCAAATCTGCAGACAGCAAACCATCGGTACTAAATGGAGGTGGGTCTCTCTTTCTCCTTTACCTCATCGATAGAGGACCAAATCTTCGCGAAGAAATCACATTGCTCATGCGGGTTTCTCTTTAGACATGGAAATCGACACAATGTCCGTTAAACACACTCAAAGTCGCTCTCAGAAATCAGGACGTGTTCAAAAACGCAAGAAGGCCCATTCGTCCATTGTCTTCCATTCGCATTCTACGAAAACAAAAAAGGGATCTCAAAGAAAGTGATTGAGTAAATCTCGAGGAAGCGTACGAATGACATCTGGAAAAGCGGCGTTCGGAGTTTTTAGCTTGCAAAAGATACTTGCATTTTCTCAGCCCCATTGCCTCAAACATGAGAGAGCTTTCATGGTACAAATATATCAAGCACAAACATTGCTGGGCGATAACTCCATATTGAGACTTCTCGAAATCGCATACTAGAAGGAACATGTACCTTGCATCAAGCCATCATGAATTAATATTTTTGGCTCAAGGCCGTGCGTTGTTATTGTCATGGCTATCAAGTTTCCACTTATGGAAATCCACACGTATCTGTTTTAGTGGTACTGTGGTGCATACTCTGGATACTTTGGCAACTCGTACTATTTACACAGCACCGTTCGCTATACACAACATGCTAGCCCAATATGGGAGGAGGTGCCCCAAGACGGGCTTCTTCCCCCCGCACCCCCCCACCCCCGGGATATCCCTAAGGTGAGTGAAACTGAGGATTTTACTATGGTAGTAATAATCAGAAAGATAGGATACATTGAAGTTGCGGAGATTGCGGATGTGGTCAGCTGACTGGCAGAATAATATTCTGCCGCTTGAATTCCATACTGGGTTAGCATGTGTAAATAAATAGCGAACGGTGTTGTGTAAGAAGCACTTGCCCATAATGAGACAGTACCTCCTTGAATGGGCTCTGGAGTCTTCCATCACAACCTGGCAGCTTACGAGACCTCAATAAAATAAGCAAGTCGCGGTTGATATGCGACAGGTTTCGATTACCCTATGACTTACTTGGCGCTCAGGTCAACAGATATCGAAGACTACGCAAGATGGCTGTCAAACGGGAGAATTGGGCGATCCTAATCGCCAATATACTCATTGTTGTAGCTATTTCAATATTTTCATCCGGGTTTTTCCCCTACAAGTCTTTGCTTCCAGGACTGGCTACTTTTGATGAGACTAATGTTGATTCTGTCGCACCAAAAGTCTTTGATAGAGTGATTTTCATGGTGATTGATGCGTTGCGCAGGTACGACTGGTTGTATCTAAATGCTCAATTCTGTATCCCTGACTGAGGCTCAATGCTAGTGATTTCGTCTATTCGAAGACTTCCGGATTTTACTTCACTCAAAGGTCAACCAGCAGCCACATAATAATTTTACCACGGAATCTGCTCTGACTGACGCTTTACGAGATCGACAGTCTAATCCGTTCTGGAGCCGCTCTACCTTTCACGGCCCATGCTAGCTCTCCAACGGTCACGATGCCTCGACTCAAGGCCATGACAACTGGCTCCGTGCCGTCCTTCTTGGACGTGATATTGAACATCGCAGAGTCCGATACCTCTTCTACCCTCGCGTATCAAGATACATGGCTAGCGCAGTTAAAGGCGCAAGGAGGTCAGCTCGTCATGTATGGGGATGACACTTGGATCAAGCTATTTCCGGGAGTCTTTGATAGGTTTGATGGGACTACGAGTTTCTTCGTATCGGTAAGTCATAAATCAAGGGACCGCTAGAAGACACACAAATCAGTCAAATAATTAATAGCTTCCTACAGGATTTCACTGAAGTAGATCACAATGTTACTCGCCACATTCCCCGGGAGCTATCAGAGGGCGATTGGTCGGCCTTCATAATGCACTTTTTGGGGTTGGACCACATTGGTCACAAAGCTGGCCCTAAGAGGTGAGAAATTTGACTTTCCACTTCGGTTTCCGAGTTGTGTCCTGATATTGTAGCCGACATATGATGACAAAACAACGTGAGATGGACTCGGTTGTTGCTCTAATATATGCCGCCATGGAGGAACAGGAACACCTTCAATCGACCCTGTTTGTTCTGTGCGGAGATCATGGCATGAACGATGCCGGGAATCATGGTGGCTCGTCACCGGGAGAAACTTCGCCAGCTTTGCTTTTCATTTCACCAAAGTTTCAGACTAAAAAACTCCCAGAAGACAGTCCAGTTGAAGCATTCAGCGACTTGCAATACTATCGGACTATTGAGCAGACGGACATCACGCCAACATTGGCGGGACTTCTAGGTTTACCTATTCCGCTGAATAGTCTGGGCATTTTCATACCAGAGTTTCTAATGATGTGGGATAATGGTAATGCCGTCAATTTCTTTTCGTTTGTAACATATTTCAAAACTGACATATTGCCCCTTGGCTCTAGATTCTCACAGAATTGACATCCTGCTTCGAAACGCCAAGCAGATGCTTAACACAATGAAGGGGACCTTTCCCGATGTGGATGTTGAAGCAAGTACTACTCCTCACGGCTGCGACAAGCAATTGCCAACAGGTCTTGCCAAAGTTCAATGTGCCTGGTTTCAAGCACTAGAATTGATTCACGGACACGAGCTTAACAGGACAAATCTCCCAGATGTCGAATCGGCTCTGCTAAGAGTTCTGGGATCTGCCCAAGAGGTGATGAGCAGCACTGCCAGTAAATACAATACAACAAGACTTTACTTGGGCTTGTTGGCCGCGGCTCTTGCTGTCTTGCTCTTATTTTTACCAGCATATGGATTGGTTTCAAAGTCCAGACATGCTATGATGTTTCTCATGTTAAGCATTCTAGGCTATGGTGGTATGATGTTTGCCAGCAGCTACGTGGAGGAAGAGCAGCAATTCTGGTACTGGGTCATCACAGCATGGACTGTCTATCTGCACATAAAATCACTCCGCCCATGGCATGGTTCGAAAGATCCTCGATCTTCGTCCTCACGATTTGCAAGATGCACAACAATTGTGCTGGCCATCTCTTATCGAATTCTCAGACGCTGGAATCAAACAGGCCAAAAATTTGCTGCTGAGCCAGACATTGCGCGAGATTTCTTTCCTCGCCATCAGAACATCTTGTGGGCCTTGATTATACTGACTTACTTTGATACATGCATGCGTCTTTGTCTCAATTCGCCGCCCAGTAATATCTGGCGCTCAGCAGCTATACTGACGACGATAGCGGCCTTATTTTTCAAGCTGGTTTTCGTGGCGTCCGACTCACCCGAGCTTCTTGATGAGTGCTTTTTGTCGCCCATACAGAAAAGCTTTGAAGGGATGCCATTGATTCTACCCGCAAGACTCGTCTTGTGTGGGATTTCCCTACTGGTGGTGACACCGTTCTGTATGAAATATGGCACACTGAAACGATTTTCTTTGACAGGAGGCAAGTGTTGACTAGTTGCTACCGCATGGGAGTTTACTGACAAACGTTAGTGGCCTCGCTGGGCACTATATGCCATGAAAGCCTGACCCTCTTCTTGCTAACACAGTCAAGAGCTGCCAATATCCCGATCTTTTTGATGTTTCGTCTACAACTTATAATTCTTGCTTCTCTGAACATGAGCGCTATTGAAGTGACCATCACGTCCTTGCTTTCACAGCATATGAATTTTTTTGCATTTGGAGGTTCGAATGCAATATCTTCCGTTGATCTTTCCAACGCATATAATGGGATTGGCAGTTATAGTGTGGTGTTGGTAGGAGTCTTGACATTTATAAGCAACTGGGCTGGGCCCATATGGTGGGTGTCCACTGCTCGGCTTCTCTACTCAAATCCAACGTCTGCGGAGAAATACAGCCATATAACCCTCCTAACGTTCCATGTTGCAACAACTTTGATGTTCGTCATGGCCGCATGTACAGCGTTAAGGACGCATCTTTTCATCTGGACAGTGTTTTCACCAAAATATCTCTACACATTGGCGTGGACTATTCTCAACCATCTGTTTATCAATTTACCGGCTACAGCGAACTTGCCGCAAAATTTGAACTGGCAATAATGTTTTTCGTTCAGTTGCTTGTCGTTACCCGACTTGCTGTGAGCATATCAATTGGACATACTTGGTTTTTAATTGATGCATTGCGAATTTCGATGGTCTGCAAAGGCTTGAATAATGTATGACTCCAACCAGTCAGCACAATCAAAGCAAGCCATTGAAAAGATCATCAATGGCGTTCTTCTTCCTCTTCTTTTGCCCAGGTTTCACAGTGGTAATCGCAGCTCTTGCTTCCCCCTGGTGGCTATTCAGTCCTTCTAAATCTTTCTGCTGGTCAGACTGAGAGCCTGGAGCAGGAATCAAAGGCTCGCTCAACCGAGAAACGACTTCTCCCACATCCTCCTGTTGCAGATTTTTGAGGCAAGTTGACGGCCGATATACCATTTTCTTTTGATGCAGGGACTTCATCTCTTTGTCGATCCCTGTTGCTCTGGTTAAACGAGCAAGCGCAGCTACCAGTACTGTGCCTATTGTGGAAAATTGGCCATCGCCTATGACCGTCGAGAATGCTCTGATACATGTTTAGTCATGGAAATTGAATGGGGCTGAGTTGTTAGAAAGCAATAGCAGGGTGATAGGCCATGATTGTGTGACTTACAGGTAACAATGTGGAATAACATGCAAAGCCAAGTGCTCTTTATATAGGCAAACAGTATGGGATGAGTTGGTCTCCAATGATTTAGTGAGTTTCAGAGTGATGCGTTTCAAGATAGACAACCACTTCCACCATTTCGTATTTCTGTGCTGATTCTTATTTCGGTGGAAAACTAAATGGAGCAGTGAATGTAAAGCTATGAGTTCTTTGACATCCATTACTTCTTCAATGCACTCTGATGGCAATAAGCTGCTCATGAATCCAGAATAATAATGTTAACTGAAAAGCTCTTGTGTGGAACTGTCGTATCCAATGTATAATAGGCTTTCCAAATTCATTGTATGGGAGCTTCTCATCCGGAATGAGATGATGCCATAAACAGACGCGGTGCAGGTGAACAAAAAGAGAGAAAATGAAAGCAAGCAAGAAAGAGAAGGAATGCAAGTTAAAAGGGAAAAAAAAGTATTAGAAGATAGAATAATAGAATAATAATGAAGAGATATCTACGCCGTGGTCTAGACACCCTTTGTGGCCCGGTCCGGGGGAGGGAGGGGGCTTTTTTTTTCCTTCTTTATTAAAAGGAAAGGGACAAGAGAAGACTTTAGCGGAGCGTAACAGAGCTATTGTATGGACAGGACTAGAATCAGTAGATACTCCTCTATGTGGATCATTATCAATATTGCCCAGTCATAAAGTCAAACTGCTACGGAGTAGTTAGGTAAGGACTAATGCTCCACTCCTGGAAAAACGTGATCTCATCACGAAGTTGGTCGAAGACGTCGAGCAACCAACATCTTTCTATACGTTTCGCAGAGAAATGAATGCCGTTCATGGAAGCAAATAAATGCGGTAAGGTCGGCTACGAGCAATATTTACGCTTTCAGAGATAGACTGTCTATGAATGAAGACAAGTCAAAAACAAAAAGCAAGACGAATTGTTCACTTTAATTTCTCCTAAGGATGGGAAAAGAAAAGAGAAGTAAAGGAGGACACATAATTTCAATCATGATTTCAGAATAGACACCAGGAGGAAAGACACCTAAATCTCACAGAGATGGGCTTCCAAATGGAGATGAACCCAACATTGGACTCAAACTGAGACCCCATGTACGTGCCAACCAGGGCATTGAATGGTTCTCTCCTGTGAATCAGACAAGTCGGTCATCTCGCTCTCCGAGCGTCTGTTGTACTCGGGACAAGAAGTTAGTGGGGTAAGATGAGTTCGTGAAAGGTCCTGCGTCGCCAGCGAGGTCAAGTCCCAATCGACACTTTTTTTCGCAAGTATGGTCTCGCAATTTTGATCAATTGTTTTCCTGAACTTCAGAGACCGTAAGCACGTCCGAAGAAGTGTTATTTTCTGAGGCGACCTCTGCACTAGGACGTTCTTGGGCCGCGCTCAGAGATCGTCGGATCGTACCATATGGTTGATGTAGGATAAGTGCAGGGAGCACTTCTCAGGCCATTATTGACGCCAAAGGGATGTGGAGCAATTGTCTGGACATACACAATCTCTCGTTCGGCAGCGCTAGTTCCACGATCAAACTGTGAACGGCGTCGACGTTGTTCATCCCGATATTGCTGTCCGACACGTGGTGCGAACAATCCTGGTGACATGACTTGTTAGCGAACCCTCATATTGTCCTAAAAGTATATGGACTTACCAATGTGTTCAGCATTTTCGATGCTGCGACGCATTTTCGAAGGATTGTCCGGTCCGGGGAAACGATCTTCTGTGCCAGCAAGAGGCCCAGTGCCGGTGTGGAAAATCTACACTCGCTATTAGTTTTCATGCTATCTAGGCTCATGTTGATTACGCCGCGCTAACCTTTGGACGAAACGATGGATGTTCCAACATGACCGAACTATTTCGGAATTTCTGTATAAGGCAATCTTTGCCCTGAATCGCTGTATTCAGGAGTTAGAATGCCCAATCTCGCCATTCAGCCGGTGGCACCTACTAGCATATGAAACTTCCGCGACTTTGTCACTGTTAAAGCAGTTCCTAGTTGATGGTCAGTGTATGTTAATGGAGAGGCAGGGGCATCTCGTACCAGGAACGCCCAGCTCGCGTTTTGACAAACTGCTGTGTGTTCAGTAAAACGGGTGGCAAAAAGGGGACAAGGGAGTCTGACATCGATTATATCAATCGGCTGGCAATTTGTTAGACATTTTTCAGACAGAGATAGGGGCAAACGGTTCGATATGACTTACGTCTTCGAAATTGATAAAAGCATAGCCGACGCTGGCAATAATGTGAGTATGATCAGGTCAAGAAAAACCTGCTCATGGGCAAAGCAATTGACTCACTTGCAGTTGTTCGCAAAATCTAGAACGCGGAGAGTGAGCTTCATTTTGAAATCAGACCAAGGGTGCCCTTTCTTACCAATGCGCAAATACATGAAGTCGTACTTCCCGTGGCTGGTCTCGTCAACGATTGCCTTGAGCATAGTCTGGGTGTGTCAGATGCCGTGCTGCTTGCAAGGATAAGCGTTATACTTACTTGATCGATTTTATTCGGGATATTGCGGAGCATGATCTGGAAATTTGGCAGGTCAATCCCTGGACGATGACAGCATGACCGATCATACATACGGTTGTTCTGACATCTAAGCCAAGGCGAATCCTTTCGATATCCACGGCGTTCTGGCTAATAGTACGGGCATCAGGATAACGACTGATCTCGCGGCGAGGAGAGTGCAAGATTTTCTCTCCCGCTCTGGACATCCAATCTATAAGGCCGACATGCTCTCCTGAAGGCACAGTAGAGCGACCAGTGGGGCTAAGCTCCATATAAGGCGTTCGGAACGGGCGCGTTGCGGCAGACGGTGAGTTCCTATGGTAAGAAGTACCATAGCGTGAACCTCCATCCTTCACCGGAGATGGGCTCGGCAGAGCATTGAATGATCTGTCTTCGGTAACATCGGGCTTGAAGAGAGCAATCTCCAGAATACAATCCTTTACCGAATGATGCATCAGCACTTGCGGTTACCCTTTTACAAAACTGTGCGTTCCGCGGGGAAATCGTTGAATGCGAAAAGCAACGCAATATAAAATGTCACTTACATCGACTGTGGTGCCATTTAGCGTCACCATGGCATTCTCGGCATCACGCGTGTTATAGAACTCGAGATGAAACTCGCTGACATTGTCCTGTCCCTTGGGGAATAGATCGAATGCCTTGAGGTCCCCAAACGTCGTCGCAAGAGTTTGTAGGGAGCGCGCTACAGTATGCGAGTTGAAAGTCGGGTTTCGGCTGTCGTAGTAAACAGACACAAGCAGATGCCCTTCATAATCAGATGTCTGCTGGAGAAGAGATGGCTCGGAATGCTGCACATATTCCTTTGCAGTGAGTGGGAAAACACGCCATTCAGGTCGAAGAAGGCGAATCTTCTCGATTGCCTTCTTCGCCTCACGACTATCTGCAAATGCAACATACACTTTGCCCAAAGAACTGAGTTCATTAAGAACTGGTCCTCTGAGAGTTGCAAACTCCCGACGCTTTTGCAGAGTCAGCATTCTTGCACATGAGCAGCTTATCCTGAAAACCTTACATTGAAGAAACCAGCCAGAGACATAAAGTTGAGACTAGCTGGAACGTTTTCGATCACAAATGCGCGGCTACGTTTGTCATTGTCAAAATTTCCAGTGAAAATGTCAGCTAGGCAGCCCTTTTGAGCAATCGGAGCGCGACCAATAGGCCCATAATTCGGTAGGCCCTTCTCATATACTCCACCCGGCCTGCTTCCGGCTCCGCGAATTTCAACATTAGCTTGAGCATTCAAGGAGCCGATATTTGAACGGCTGCGGGCCAGGCTGCGAACTTGGATATCACTGGCAGCACTGCCGGCTATCCCGATAGGGGTGAAGCTTGCTGCGGTTGGGGACAGCTGCACGCGATTAGACGTGCTTAATGGCACCAAAAATGGATCGGCTGAGTGCCTAAGCAGTGTTAATATATGAGTATATACGTGTGGAGGGCACTTACACTGTGTATAGCCTGCGGCATCCGGCGTCGCTGAGGGAGGTACCAACACCGGTTTCAGGGCGACCTTTAGATCTTATATCCTCAGGTGAGAAGGCTGTAAGCTTGGTATCGGGGGATCCATTGGGCGAGATTCCATCGTTCGTCGAACAGGGGCTGCTCAACCCACGAGAGGAGTTGTTGGCCCTCATTACGAGAGAACGAACTGGTGTCTTGTCGGGGAACAGTGTCAAGCTATTGAACATTCGCCAATATTATGACAGCCGTTTTTGGAAAGAATAAGCAATTTGCGAAATGTATAAAAGACGCTTGCGATTACAGCTCAAGAAGAAGAGAAGAGGTAGGAATCGAGGGAAGTGGCACTTCTCTTAACAAACACTTGAAGAGCACGGGGAAATGGCCTGACTTTGAGATAATTCAAGAGAGTTAAAAAAGGAGGAGATGTAACAGGACAAAATGGAATTCGAAAGAAACAGCATGAGAAGATTAAGAGCAATGTCCCGGCTACAGCAACGGGGCTACTATGTATTGAATCTGTCATTGCATACGAGTGATAATAACAATCACCAGGCTAAGCAGACCCTAGCTATATCAACTCCCAGGAAAATGAGTATTGTATTCTCAGACCTTATCATTACGGTAGAAATGCTATTATCCTAGGTTACTGTTGAAGCACTTGCTTTGATGCGATAAGAACCCTCAAGGGTGTAAGCTAATATCATGCCCTTTGTGTAGGCTAAGGGATTCAAGAGAAACGCGCATATTGCATGATCTGCATCACATTCAGTTTTTATAAGAATTAAAATTGCCGAGAAAGAGAGCAACTAAAAGAGAGTAGTTCTGTTGGGCACCTCATTACTTCTCTTATAGAAGGTAATTCTGATTTCTGACTAGTATTTCATGGTATATTAAACCAACACCACCAATCAAGCTAATAAGTTATATCGAGGACCTAGATTTTTCCCAAGAGACTTACCTGGCTATACATGATGCTGGTGCACATGTCAGTGGAAGGCTGATTCGCATATTCCTTCTTCCCTACTCTTACCCCCTATCTGTCTCAATTAGAGGATACCCTCTTTCTTTGCACTTAAGTAATAGTTGTAAATTCAGTTCCTACAGATAGAGCTAGCCAAATGAGCAATTCACAGCCAGTTTCTAATTTGAGAATGTTCACACCATACTTGCACGTATCCATGTATATGTTGTTGTTTTAGGGTTAAAATAACTTAATCTAAGATGGTTTATCTTAAAGACAAGCGCACGGACCATTATAAAACACTTTATCCTGACGTAGGCTCTCTAGCCAGCTTTCTAAGGATAAGATACTAAAGCTCACAGTGCATGCACTAAATGTTTAGGTCATCTCTATACCCCAGCATACAACTTAAGAGCTGTCACCATAAATCTGTCTTTTCATGCTTTCTAATTTTGAGCAAGTACACCTGATACAGGGCACTTGTGCTGCTCACATATATTGGCCACCTAGGTAATCAACCATCCTTACACAGCCGCTCTTGACAATCAAAGGTTGCGCAAATAAGGATATTGATACATCAAATATGCCATCAATGGTTCCTTCACGTAGTGAACCATCACACGTGCTAAATTCAGTGAGTTCAAAGCAGTAGGCGTCACGAATTCTGAGCACTAATTTGATGCGTCATAGATCATCATCTCTCCATCGGACACGGATTACATTGATCAATTGATCCCATCAATCAGAGAGTATAGCGTCGGCAATCGAACGTCTCAATTATTACAGTCGTTGTCCAAGTTCGCCAGCGATAGAGAAGCCGAGATAGAAACCATCTGCAACACAAACCATCAGGAATTTGTCTCTTCAATCAATCAACTTCTACGTATCAGAGAAGGAACAGTGAGCTTGACCGCGGAGATTCTAGACCTAAACCGATCTATCCAAGCTAGCACCGAACGGCTCGCCGAACAGAAGAAGGCCCTGGTAGAGTCGCGCAGTCACCGACAGAACATTGATGAGACCTCTCGTGCCATCCAGGACTGCTTGGAGGTGCTACGCCTGGCTAATCAAGTTCATGATCTGCTAGCCAAGAAGAATCACTATGCGGCCTTACGGGCGCTCGAGGAACTCCAAAATGTGCACCTCAAGGACGTGACCCAATATAAGATCGCCGATATGATTCAGCGTTCAGTACCAGCGACCCAGCGAGCGATAGCGGAGGCCGTGTTATCAGATCTGAACACTTGGCTTTACAGAATCCGAGAGATGTCTCAGTTCCTCGGAGAAATAGCCCTTTACCATACAGAATGCCGGAAGACAAGGCAAAAGGAGAGGGCAGAGAAACTATCATACCTCAGACATTTCAGACTGAACTCTGCTATTGAGCTGGTTTCGGATGAGCACGAAGAATATGATTTATTACGGAACGAAGAACTGCAAGTTGACTTCACCCCACTGTTTGAATGTTTACACATCCATCAATCACTGGGGCAGATGGACAAGTTTCGGACGGAGTACGCTACTACCCGTCGCCGACAAAAGGAGCTTCTAATTCCTGCTTCAATAACTCTGGTTGACGAGGACGGGGCTTGCCTACACAACCTCCTAGAAGAAATGGCAGGCTTTGCCATCGTAGAGCGTGCTACCATGAAGAGAGTGCCAGACTTGAGGTCATCCGTCGATGTAGAGTCACCCTTCGTCTGACCATTTGCTCGGCGTGAAGTCTAATGCTTGTGACTAGGTCGATGAGCTCTGGGATTCAATGTGCCAGACTGCCATGGGCCTCATTTCAAAAGCGCTTCCTGAAGTTGATAATGCTGAGAGTTTGCTGAAAATCAAAAATCTTGTTGCATTATTTATGCAAACAATGAATGTTGGTCCATGATGTCGGAGCTGTCGCTAATGTTCTTGCCCTTTATTACTGACTACTGCTGGACACAGACATGGGAGTTCTCCGTTGGAACTTTTGACGAATTGCTCTTGACTCTGTTCAAGAGATATGCCGAGCTTCTCAAGAAAAGATTCAGTGATGACTTCCAGGAGGTATGCTGCAACATCATGATCAACTTGTCCTTGCTAACATGAATTGTAAGATCGTATCCACGGACGATTATATGCCCATGCCGATACAATCGCTGGATGAGTACGACAAGGTCCTCAATGTCAGCTGGTACAATCCTGAGAAGCCAAGGGAGGAACAAGTGTACATCCACGGTCTCGATTTTGAGATTTGTGTTCTCTTCACTAACTCAACTAGGTTTCCATGTGTTCTGCCATTTTCTCAGATGTATCCCTTGTGTTGCATCGACATCCGCAACTTCTTGAACCAGTTTTATTTCTTCGCCAATGAAGATTTCTCGCATCCGCATATGATTGATGAGACTCTCAAAGATGTCAGTCACACGTGAGTTTGCAAAACATAGAAAGTACATTCTGACGGTTACAGGCTTTGGATGAGCTTCTTTCAAACCAAGTTTGCGATACGCTTGTTGAACGCCTTGCTTCGCAATATTTGGGCCAGATTGTTCAGATATTAATCAATCTGGAGCATTTTGAATCAGCGTGCCGTGAGCTCGAGGAGCTTCTCGCCGCGGCTCGATCCCAGGGTGCTGCAGGCGGTCCGATATCCTTGAGAGCGACGGAGAAGTTCAGAAGCAACAAAAAGTCTGCAGAAAAGCGAATTTTTGAGGTGGTCAATTCCAAAATTGACGATCTCATTGAAACTGCAGAGTATGACTGGATGGCACTCACCCCTCCGACAGAGCCCAGCAACTACATGCAAACGCTGACCCGTTTTTTGTCCAATATAATGAACTCAACATTGCTCGGTCTCCCAACAGAAATCAAGGAACTCATATACTTCGATGCTCTTAGCCACGCGGCAAACATGATCTTGGTAATGCCATGTTAAATCGTTGATATAAGGGCTGGCTAATTCCTGCTGCCTCGGTAGGCGCAACCGCTCTCCTCAGACGTAAAAAGCATCAACCCCAATGGAGTGATGGCCCTTGCGAAAGATGTTGAATATTTGTCTCAGTTTGTTGACAGCTTGGGCGTGCCCATTCTTCGGGAGAACCTCGACGAATTGCAGCAGACTGTGCATCTAATGCAGGCGGATAATACGGACGAGTTTTACGATATTTCTACAAGAAATAAGAAGTATGGCCGCGTGGATGCTATCAATGGCCCTATCCTCTTAGAAAAGTGTGTCTATCGTTGGTCAATTATTCCGAGCGGACGATTACTGATTGTATTACAGACTTACGCGCACTGTTCAAAGTCCAGGAAAGATTGATAAGTTCACAACGCTTTCCTCAAGGTTCGGCAAGAAGTCTTGAAACGTTCAAAATTGGATGTCTCGAGATTTCCGTCACTGACCTGACCAAGAATCCTCCCCCCTACTTTTAGCTTAGATAAAATTAGACCCGGAGTCAATGTTAAGCATACTGCGAACCGCTCTGTCTGATTCCATTCGAAACTTCATGGTAATGATAGGCACAGAATCCATCATAATACTAGCAACAAAAAATATGATCACGACGCCGTGACAATGAAGTTCCAATATACTGGTTAACCTGCCCATGAAGACTTGAGCCTCTGCAAAGAATCACTTTCAGAATGAACAGTGTTAGCCGAATCGCGTACAGAAATGCTGCCTAGCGAACTTCAAATATGTTGAGCAAATTTTTGGCATACCTGCTGTGGCGGGAGATGTGGGTAAGGATTGTACATCCCTTCAAAGATTTGGGATTGCGGCTGGCCATACGCGGCCGTTGGATCTGACTGAACGGCTCCCCCATACATTGTTGGCTGCCGATATTCTTGGTCTTGTCCAATGCCATGCTGTCCCAGGGAACCGTAATCCGGAGGGGCCATATGGTGCGGGGGATGTTGAACACCATGTTGAGAAGGCGGCAATTGGGCACCTGTTGCAGCGGAGGAACCCGCAGCACCTGCGGTTGTCTGGCTCGACCGTTTCGCATGGGACGTTGCCTCTTCACGAGGTACTATGTCAATGAGGAAATCAAACATATCGGATTTGGATAAGGCTGCTGCGATATCTGATCTTTGCAACGTGCGTCGCTTGTTGTCTTCGGCATGTATCCAAGCTCGCATAGTAAGTTCTGTGATGAAAATGTCGCAGCCTTTCGCAAATAATATCGGGGCCTCAGCAGAGATCATCTTCACCTCAGGATCTGCCTTCATGACCTTTTTTATACGGGCCAGTGGTAACTGGTGAATTTTGTAGTCATGATTGTCCGATTCGAGATGGTTGATAATGTGTTGCCAGTAGGTCGTTAGTATGTCGCGGGCTGTGCCTTGTAGCCCTTGGTTGACCTTGCCTATCATCAGTATAATGAAAATCACGAAACTGGGTTACTTGCATTCGCCCATGTTCCCGTATAAAGCTCGGCAACGGGGGCATACCCCTGCGCTGAAAGCTGTCATATTCCAAGTCAGTCTTTATCGCGAGCTAGATAACACTTGCGCTGATTCGAGTTCACCATACCGCAGCACTGGCACCTGGAACGACGAATTAATTTCCACGTTTGATGATATGTTAAGAACACAGGATTTACATGAACAGATACTACTCACCGTAATGTCCGCCATTTCTGGTGTCATACACTGGCTGCTGTCTACCTTGCTGCTGTCCGGTACTCTGCGAAGACTGTTCCATTTCTGTGATATTTTGGCGGCAAGTAGATTAATCAAAGCCGGAGTACAAGAAAATGAAGCACTTTAAGATGTTGAGACAGCAGTGGGCGTATCGCAATATGTTCCTCCCCAAGACGTTGCTAGGTGACTGACGGTGCGACGCGGTAGGCGGTTGCGATTTCTGTATGATTAATCGATCAACAAGAACATTCACCAAGTTTATTCTCCCCGTCCGAGATACAGAACAATAATGCAATAGGTTGCGAATTGTCGAAATGTAACTACCTAGGTTGGAATATGAAGATGTCAACGTCGAAGGAGCGCGCGGAACAGGCGCCAAGCATTACGCACCGTACCTTTGAACCCAAGGTATGCACTATGCCGTATGGATGTCTCCACCAACAAGGACCTCGAGGACTTGATAGTTTGGAACACTAAAAAACTGAACATGATAAAGTGCACATATTAAAATGCAAGTATACCGCGACAAAAATTTAATTCTGAGCTTTTTGAACACATTGGCCAGACGCAACTGAGGAGTGAGAAGTGGAATTTTCGCTCAAGGCCAACAGGTGATGGAGACGAGTTGATTAGCTTCACTGATACGTCCGTGATTCTGGTCCGATAAATCGCCTTATATTGAGGATCAGATCTGATCCCAACCTTAAGTCCTTCCTTATTAAATAGCTCCTAATATCTTGCTGAGCCTGAGAATCCATCTTTTAGGTCATTAGAACACGCTCATGGTGATTAAGCAGCTGAATCAGACTGGGAACTCCCTCCGCCTGCTATGTTTTAACACTACCAACCCTCGTATCGCACTTCTCCATCCCTAAGGTACCTTATTATCATCATCTATTCCAAGCTATACTGAGTCAGAATCTGTATATTAACTAATCTAATTAATATTATTAGTAACTATTTCCTCCGTAGGGCAGCTTCTAGGATGCTAGAATTGACTATTTAACTAACCCTTCCGCCTATTGGGTGACCCTAGAGCTAGATGAAAGCGTCAGTTAGATAGGCAGAAGGGTTAGTTAGGAGGCATATTCAGTAATAAATCTACATAAAATATTCTACTCTATGATGAGATTTGTATGGCAGCTTAAGTGAAAATAATATAATAAGTCTCATAATGGCGAGGTTTCTCGTTATTTTGGTGGAAAACAATTGACATTGGGTTTTTTCCGTTATAGGGAGGTTCTTGTTATATTGGGGCTCGCTATAATGAGGTTTTGTATGTTACATGGGGGCTTCTGCCTTGGTGGGTAGGTAAGGTACTTACGGAGTACTTAAGTAACAAAGACTACCTTACGTAATATGAGTTTATAGAAATTCTTCAGTATCCGTATCTGAGGGTGACTACTAGGAACGAAGCCAAAATTATGCGTGTACTTGTATGGTAAACACATACGTGTTAGATCTATACCTACCTAGAAGAACAACTGCCTGAGGTACAGACTATGGAGTAGCTCTCTACTGAAGAGACATGCCCAAATAATTCCTCAGATTGATGATTCCGTAGTGTACATGTATCTCTTTAGGAAGATGACTAATGGTTTTTGCATCACGGGATCTAACTATCCCCAACACAGCTAAACCCGGACTCGGATTTTCCACCATAAATTCTTTCATTTCAAATATTTCCTCACTGCTTTGCTTTACCTCCTGTTCTTCAAGCTCCCATGAATATGCCAGAAGAACCATGTGGTGAAGTTGCATTGCAATCTCTTGGAGAGATTAGCTTGAATGATCAAGATATCGAACAGCTGCTTATTGAGGCTGAGTCTCGATTGCAAATATGCAAAGTTCAGCCGAAGAGCACTTCGGAGGGCAAAGCCATTAGCCACTCAGAAAAACCCCCTCTGAAGTAAGCGTGTTCATTATTACTTGGGCTCGATTGAGCTGTTTGCTGATGGAGTGGTTATTGCAGCATTCCGAAGTTGACAACTGACTCTTCATTACAATCTTATGTTGTGCAGCGAGACGATGTTGCCTTGGCCGATACGAAACGAATCATTGAACCCTTGCAAATGAGTTTATCCAACAAGAGCCTGTCCACTTCTAAAACCGGTCAGGCTTCTGTCAACTCCTCAATACATAAGGTAAGATCCGTCAATATCTTGTCTCACCCTTTTCGTATCCATGCTATGAGGAAAATTTCCCACTGCGTGAGCCCTTGATGCAGCTTCAACAGTCCGTATTGGGCTGCGCTGCGCCAATGAGAGCACATTTTTCATAGTTACTCTGAGCATAATTTCTTCACATTTAGCTCGACTTGCAACTCATTGATGGTTTCTATTACTAATATCTTTCTCACAGGAAAAGGCAACCGCCGGTGCCGATTGGTTCCATCTTCCAAAGACTGAATTGACAACAGAGCTCAAAAGAGATCTTCAGCTCATTAGGATGCGTTCTGTATTGGATCCCAAGAGGCACTACAAGAAAGAAGGCGGCAATGCACAGCCTCCAAAATATTCTCAGCTGGGAACAATTATTGAGGGTCCAACGGAATTCTTCAGCGGTCGCATCGCCAAGAAAGACCGCAAGAAGACTTTCGTTGAAGATGCCTTGGCCTTGGAACGGGAAACCAAACGCTTTGCTTCCAAATACAGGGAGATCCAAACATCGAAACAAAGCGGCAAAAAATCATTCTACAATAACCTGCGTGCAAAAAGGAATCGTCGAAGCAAATGAGGACGTCCAATTTTACAAATGCTGAAGAACGTAAATCGAGTGAATGCTTCGATACGACGATCGATCTAATCTGCTGACTTGCCATTCTCTAGCTACTTGAAGAGGTTCCGTCATGAGAATCGTCTCATGAAATTGCGCTTGCGCGCTCCTTATCCAATCTTGGCATTCGATTCACAAGGCAGCCCGAATCCTTGATTTACTCACAGAGTGGACACTACCGGCGCCCATAGACATTTGATATGGCCTTCATGACGAGTTTCTGCTACCCTGTCAATACCAATGCATACGGATAAGCCGCTCAATGCGGAGGCTTACCTGCATATCGATGGCTGCAGTGCGGCCAGCTTCGAGGACTTCTTCGTGGCTTGCCTTCCCTTCTTGCAATATAGTGTCCAGCTCCCTCACGTTCTTGGCTTGGAGAAGATGATCGTCTCCTCGGGGAACTGGGGAGAGGACCGCGTTATTGGTTACCAAGCTGAACGCCAGTACCCTAATGCCGCAGTGCCTCGCGACGATTATTTCTGGTACGGTTGACATGCCCACTAGATCAGCCCCCAATTGGCGAAGCATACGACACTCGGCTCGAGTCTCGTAACTGTTCATAATTAGTGAATGGCTGCGTATGAATTTTCGACGGTCCTGGGGGAAATAGTTACTCACCTGGGGCCCCCAACAAAGGCATACACACCCTCGTGTAGTCTTCGTTTAGTGTTTTCGCTTATCACTGCTTTCCATGCTTGATGTGCATGGCGACGGAGCTCGAGATCATATGCGTCAGACAGAGCAGGGAATCGGGGTCCGAACTCCTCCGAGTTTGGCCCTCGCAGGGGATGTGTTCCTGCGAATCCAGCAGGAAAGATATGCTACAAGTGTTTGACAATGTCAGTGAGCCTAGCTTGCAGCATCCTAACAGGTAGCATACATCGTTGATGATCACAATGTCTCCTACCGCATATTCAGTATTGAGGCCCCCAGCGGCGTTTGTTACTGTTCATTTGTGCACTATTATTAAAAGTGTCTCGTGCCAAAAAAAAGAAAAGAAAAGAGAAGAAAAAGAAAAAAAGGGGTTCTCACAGACAATAGTCTCAATTCCAAGGAGCTTAAAGACTCGGATTGGAAATGTCACCTGGTGTATCGAGTGACCTTCATAGTAGCTGCATGCAAAATAAAAATATTAACAGTTTTCAATAATGATATTCAATCGCAATGAGTTGAGGGTTCTGACTGTGCACGGCCCACCATGAGAACGACTGGGATCTGGTTGGCAAGTAGTCCAAAGACGAGTTTTCCCGCATGTCCGGGCACTTCAGAGGTCAGAAAACGGCAGGTTAACATTGAGCTTCAATGTTTCGATTCTTACCTGTCAGACAAGGGAAATGGGGTATGGAAGAGTATTCGAATTCGGCTCGCGGCTCATCATGGATGGTATTTGCGAGTTCTCCCAAACCGGAGCCACAGACAACTGCAACACGGGGGCGTTGCAGAGTTTCAGGTAGATGTTCCTTCAAGTATGAGAAAGCTTCAACCGCCTGTTCGAATAGTGACTTGTTCTTTGGTGCTTCCGCCATCATTCTGTGCTCTGGAAAGAGACTGATGAGTGGAAATGTCATGCGATAGAAATGAAGTTGGCAATACAGTTTCAACTTCCATTTCGATGCATTTAATGCTTTACTTAGGTAGTTTCTAGCTTACCCTAACTATGAAGAGGTAAGCGGCAATCCCAGAGGTAGGTATTGTGGATCCTAAAGGGCTATCCACTCTCTACGCATACGACAGTCTGCTTTATCCTTGAGATGAGAGGATGTGTGTGCTCATTTTCCTACGTAACTATACAATAGCTTACTGTCTGAGCTTCAATTAAGCAGGTGATAACATGCTACTCAGGCATTGATATTCCATCCCTGGAAATAGAATCGGTATTCAGAACAATAGGTGCTTAGGCATTGGTAATATTGATCTGCTTCACCAAAATGTGTTTTGCTTTAGCTGCTGACTGAGTACAGCCTAGCTAGTCTATAGGTGTGATCATACTGTTGCACAGTTTCACTACTCTACATAAGATACTACTAAGTACATGCGCGCAGCCACATATATTCTTCAATTTGAGCTTTCGTCAAGTACAGCTGATAATTCTACAGGGATCACAGACTATGTCATAGGATATAGGATATAACGATCGACTGCAGGTGACCCAAACAACAGTCTTTGTGGTAAAATATCTGTTGGCATGCGACTGGAATGACTATGTAGAAGATAGTGGGGAACATCCATCAGCTGAAGTAATGGAAATAATTGATTAATAAATTTTGAATTTCCTGGTGAGCACTTGGTAAACAATGATGACGAAAGAAGTTAAGTACAGATACATATGGATATTCCTCATGGAATGATAATGCCTTGACTCGTCACTTTAGTCCTACCTTATTATTGATGAGTACAGATCATGGATGGAGGGCAGTGTTACCTAGTAAAGGCGGTCAGCAGAGTATCTAATCAATTGGATCTTCTGCTTCAGTTGTGCCTGGCAGAAAAGCTCAGGTACCTATCTCCACATCTTCGCGAAAGTTGACAGAACACTCCCTTATTCTTTTCTTTCAGTGATCGTGTGTCTGTAAACTATCAGTCATCCTGGTCACCTAGATACAGCTATGTCAATTTCCCTCACTCCACGGCTCCCTTTACGAGCTTTCAAGGTATTCACTAGTGGTTCCCCATCTCACAAGTGTGTAGAACTGATCATACTGAAAAAAGTTTGCCGTATCCGCCTCTCGCAGCATCGCTTCTTCAGCCGAGCTGGACATCGCAAACTCTAGGCCTTCGGAGTCTCGCAGCGATCCAGTCAGAAGCTCAGAATTGTTAGAGATGCCTTTTCCTGTTGCAAATTCTTTTTTTTTTTTTTTTTTTTTTTTTTTTTTTTTGTTTTTTTACTAACAACCCATGCCCAGATCGGACGATCCAGCACCTTCATCCGCGCCACGCGGGAAAAAATGGTTTGTAATTTAGATTCTCCAATCTTTCTATGATGCTCCATTCTCTTCGTTGGTTAGGTCAGATCGTTTGGACAGTTTCGTTTAGAAGGCCCGACTCCCGCGGAGCGTACAAGCGTTGTATCTTCGGCCA